GCGGCCACTGCACTCCAGTCTGGGCGACACAGTGAGACTCCAACTCAAAAAAAAAAAGATATTCTCCCACTTAGCCTCCCAAAGTGCTGGAATTACAGGTGTGAGCCGTGGTGCCCAGCCTCATCTTATTTAAAAATCGATACAATATTGAAGCTTACAGAGTGAAAGTGAAAAAAAATCTCCCTTATTGCCATCTTGTGGGCCCAACCTTACTTTGTAACTATAACTAATAAGTGTTTAGTGAATATTTTTAAAGACTTTCTCTAGTCTTTAAGTGTGTGTATATGCATTTAGGAAGTTTTTTTGACTTCTCAGACTTCTGTAATCTATGTATCTTTGTTCTAAATCACTGTCCACTCCGATTTCAAGCTGTGAAAGAGTCAGACAAATGTACTTTAAAAAAATTTTTGTATTTTTGGGGTTTTTTTCTGAGCTGGAGTCTCACTCCGTCACCTAGACTGGAGTGCAGTGGCCTGCTGGGCTCAGGTGATCCTTCTGTCTCAGTCTTCCAAGTGACTGGAACTATAGGCACATGTCACCAAGCCCAGCTAATTTTTTGATTTATTGTAGAGATGAGGTGTCGCCAAGTTGCCTGGGCTGGTCTCAAACTCCTGGGCTCAGGTAATCCTCTCACCTCGGTCTCCCAAAGTGCTGGGATTATAGGTACGAGCCACTGTGCCTGGCCTGACAAATGTACTTTTAAATTAATTTACGCAGCACCTGACCAAGGAAGCACTTATTCTTTTTTTTCTTTTTTTTTTTTTTTTGAGTCAGGGCTTCACTTTGTCATCCAGGCTGTTGTGTGTAGTAGCACATTCATGGCTCACCACAGCCTCGACCTCCTGGGCTCAGGCGATCCTCCTACCTCAGCCTCCTGAGTAGCTGGGACTACAGGAGCACGCCACCATACCCAGTTAAATTTTTTTAATGTTTTTGTAGAGACGAAGCCTTGCTGTGTTGCCCAGGCTGGTCTTGAACTTCTGGGCTCAAGCAACCCTCCCGCCTTAGCTTCCCAGAATGCTGGGATTACAGGTATGAGCCAGTGCATCCACCCCAGAAGCATCTGTTCTTGATGGATTTGCAGGGATACTTGCGTTGGAGAAATAGGTGGAATGCAGGATCCCTGTGGAGACACCCTGAGGTCACCCAGAGGGAAGAACACGTGAGCTGCAGGGCAGGGTTTGCTTCCCATAAGCTCACCAGCTCCGGACTTGACCTGCCGGGTGGACACACACTCCCCAGGCTGCGAAGGCTCTCGTGTGGGCCGGCTGGTGGCTGAGGGGAGGAGAAAAGAGGGGAGTGGGAGGCTCGAGGGTGGAATGTGGGCTGGGCCAAGTTTAGAATTACAAGGGCCTCAGAGGGCTCCTGGAGCCACACTTTAAATAGCCAGCACCTTCCCCTTCCCCCTCAGACAATTCTTCTGCCCCGCTGGACTTCTGGCAGCAGCTTCACTAAGGTTCGGAATGTTTTCTTCTCTCTCTCTCTCTTTTTTTTTCCCTCCGGTTTCTGGATCTCAGCCTGCAGCTTGGCGGGATCCATAGGGCTTACCTCGCAAGGACGTTGGGGTCCTCTCCTAGAGAGTCTGCCTCTGACATTTATGTGTGCCTGGGCAAGGGCTGTGCGCGAATGTCTTGGCTTGCTGAACTTGGGTGGCTGTTGTGAATTGTGACCATGTGAATTGGAGAAAGGGAATCCTGGCTTGAGAGGAAAGACCTCTGGGTTCAACTCCAAGAAAGCAACGGCTTTCTTCTCTGTGAAGTGAGAGCCTGATCGACTCGGACAGGATTGAAAGAAAATTTAAAATGGAGTGCCTGGTTATTCTGCCAAGTGCAGATGTATATATCCCCTCGTTTAATCCTTGTGGCTAAGCATTGTCTGTCATCCCCACTTTTACAGATGAGCAGACTAAGGCTCAGTCATTCATTAACTTCTCTGCAGTCAGGCAGTGGCTCGAGAAAAAGAAACGAAGGTTAGAGCCCGGGCTTGTCTTGAGTCCACAGCTCACGTCCTTTGAACCGCACACACGCTGCTTCTGAGAGGCAACTACCGCGGGGCCAAGGGACTCAGGACGGGCTCCTGTTTCTCCTAGGGCCTGAGAGGTGGCTTTCTGTCATTGGGACAGGATCGTCAGACGGCAGGGGAGGGGAGGCCTGGGACCAGACCGATACCCTTCTCCAAAGGGCTGAGGCACACTCTGGATCGGCCGCGGGAGTGTCTCCGTCGCAGCCCACCATCTCGGGAGCCCATCCCCTAGTTTGTCAAATAAACCCAGGTGCCTACTGCTCCCTGACTTTCTGGATCAGAGCCAAAGGAGCCTCCGTGGCCTCTGGCTACCGCTGAGAAAGTTCTGTGAATGTGAACTTTGCTTGAAGCTTAGGGGAAAAGTCCACCCATCCCCTTCTCCAGAAACAGAGCCCCTGGACAAAATCGGGGAGAGCCGCCCGAAGATGCGTCTGCTCGACAAGCTGATAAGCCCGGGCAGCCAGTGTCACTGAAGGACTTGGCGAAAGAGCAGGGACAGGGTGGACTCAAGTCCTGGCTGTGCAGTTGACTCGCTGCAGGACAGCAGCGGTCATAGGATCGAGCCTCTCTGGGCTGCAGCGTCCTTATTTACAAAGTGGAGATAATAGTGCTTACATCGCAGGCGTGGAGAGAGCCAGGTTTATTGTAGTTGCCAACATGAGCCACCTCCAGTCTCGTCCTCCGTCTCCATTGCGAGTGGGCCATTTCTGACAGTGAAGGGTTTAAAACTGAGCTCTTTGTGCGTGGTGTGTTGTCTACTGGAAGAGAGTCCGCTGGTCATCACCAAAAAAGATAAAGAACCCATCGTTTGGCGTTCTCTGATGTTGATCTCAGACAGACCTAGAGGAAGTACCTAGACAGATCACCTCATCTTATTCTCTCAACCTCTCTCATTCCTTTGACAGGATGTGTAAGAACCTGGCTTTTATTGCTGGGTGTGGTGGCTCACACCTGTCATCCCAGCACTTTGGGAGGCCGAGGCGAGAGGATTGCCTGAGTCAGGGATTTAAGAACAGCCTGGGCAATTTCGCGAGACCTTGTCTCTACGGTACATCAAAAAATTAGCCGGGCGTGGTGGCTTGACAGATTTTTTCTTTTTTGAGTTGGGTCTCATTCTGTCACCCAGGCTGGAGGGCAGTGGCATTCTCATAGCCACCGCAGCCTTGACCTGCTGGACTCAGGCTGTCCTTCCGCCTCAGCCTTCCAAGTAACTGGAACCACAGGCGTGTGCCACCACACCTGGCTGATTTTTTGATTTATTGTAGAGACAAGGTCTTGCCATGTTGCTCAGGCTGGTCTCGAACC